ATGTTCCTCGTAAAATATAATGAAAACCTTCGGCAGTTTATTTCGCACCCAAGGGTTTTTATTTAACCGGTAATCTGTTTACGTTCTATATATCACGAATCATTGCTAACACTGACAGGGGAAATTTATGTAACTAAAAAAAAATAAATCCTGGAAAAATTAATATACTTTGAGTAAAATTAATTGTTCTCAAAAGCGAAGGGAAAGTTCTGCCCAAGATCGAATTGCATGCTGATATTCCAGTTCCACTGCAAAAGAACAATTAACCCCGCTGGCTTCGTCGTGTAGTAGGAATTATTATAAATGACTTTTGGCAGCAAAATATGGCTAAGACCTTGATAAGGATTCGGTATATCTTTTCGAAGTCGCTTTGCCGATTCAGTTTCTTTAAAATCCTAATTTTTTTGTACTTACTAGATTTGACCCCAACAGGGCAAGCTAAATGAAACCGATTGAAAATGATGATTAAGGAATACAAATAATCTGAGCGTGCACAACACCAAATAATAATTTCTTAACAAAGAATACTAAGGTACTCACTCACCTTTCATTACGTTTGCGAAAACCACCATATTGACAAATTTTGTTATCACAATTTTGTACGATACAATTTTTTCGCCTTACTGACGCGATTAACCGAACTCTGTACGAACGACCGAACACACTACATCAAATGGCGCTTGAAAACCAGAAAACGATTTACACAAACTACCGATGAAATTATAAAATTGCAGCACATTTTTTTTTTAATTTTTTCAACAGCACGTGTTTTACATACGATTATTATATCAATAAATGCAAATATTATTGAATGCATAAATGCAACCGATATTTTCACACATTTATATACATACGAACATATGTATGTATGAAACATATGTATGCAGATAGACACGAGACACCACCGGCGAGGATTAACGACAGCGCTGTGCATGCCTGATTTACGCTTTCACCGGCTGCTTTCATTGTGGGCAACAGGTTGCCTTTTGCTTTTTAAAACAAACTTTTTGCACTCTACACCAACATTTGATAGATTTTGCATTTCATTTAACCTTAAATTCACATTTCATTTAACCTTTAATTCGGTTTTATCAATAAATTAAACATTTTCACTTAACACTACGAAATTTACGCGTTGTCGATTCGACGGGAAAGATCTAACTGGAAGAAATTTTTCAAGCACTCAACGCATACAAACATTTCCGTATCTCATTGTACCCCATCCGTCGTACAATTGGTTTCCTTTCGTAATGCATGGAAGTCGCGAAGAGCGCCATCTGCCGCAAAAACGCAAACACTACAAGTTTCTGACATGGGTTTTGAAAGAAACGCGTGCACAGGGTGCACTGATGATAATTTTTTTTTTCGTCATTCTGCTATTCGAAAAATATGATACATTTCCGAATATTCGTTTTTGTTGGATTTTTTCTATTTGATTTGGCTAATTACGAAGCTATTCTTGGTTTAGTGTATTTTCTAATTATTTCTATAGGTTAAAATAGGTTAAATAGGTATTATTTCTATAGGTTAATTACCCTACGACTCCACCTTCTGCAGATACTGTTAAAAAAAAGCTGTATTAAGACAGAAATGCCAGGTGGAGACTGAAAATTTCCACTATTAAACCATATCTGTCTTGCCGAATTACTTACGAGATGATATTTGACAGATGTTAAAATACATTTAGTAGAAGGTGGAGACGTGAGGTTAAACTAAAGTATGTATTCAATAAATATGTATGTCTGTACATTAGGGTGGTCCAAGAAAAATATTAAAATACTAGGCTCTCACCTCCTTGGATTCTTCTAAATGGAAAAAATAAAACCAGTATTTTCTTTAATTATATGTATTTAAAATATATTTAAAATATGCCAATTACGACATATGTATATTCCGTTCGAAAGCGGCGGATAATTGTAAGACTCCCCCTTACGTGACAACATCAATAAAAACACTATCAGCTGCTTTTCAGAAACCCCTTCTTCTGAGATCACCTGATTATTAGCTTTCTCTTTAATCTAATTCAATTTCTGCCATTTCCATCACAATTTCTTCTTCAAGTAGAAATACGATTTCTTAAAAATATACTAAACCAAAAACACACCTACAGCCCGCAAGGAAAACGATAGGGAATATACGAAATTGCTCATAGCAATCGGAAATGTTGCGGATGCAGATGCGGATTTTGAAGGCTCACATATGCCTTTTCTGGCTCAAGTCTATTTCGCAGAGTTTCGTAACTAGTCCAATTACATAGAAAAAATTCAACAAAAAATAAAAATTTCGGAAATCTATCATCAAATTGTTTTCGAAATAACGGAATGACGAAAAAATTGCATCATCCAGTGCACCCTACAAATTTGCAACCTTGTGTACTGTTTCTTTCCAAACCTGTGTTTTTGTTAGGTTTTTGCGGCAGATGGAGCTCTTCGCCACTTTCATGCATTACGAAAGGAAACCAATTGTACGACGGATGGAGTACAAAGAGATACGGAAATGTATGTATTCGTTGAGTGCTTGAAAAATTTCTTCCAGTTATATTTTTGCCCGTCGAATCGACATCGCGTAAATTTCGTAGTGTTAAGTGAAAATGTTTAATTAATTGATAAAACCGAATCAAAGGTTAAATGAAATGTGAATTTAAGGTTAAAGGAAGTGCGAAATCTAGCAAATGTTGGTGTAGAGTGCAAAAAGTTTGTTTTAAAAAGTAAAAGGCAACCTGTTGCTCACAATGAAAGCAGCCGGTGAACGCGTAAATCAGGCATACACAGCGCTGTCGTTTAATCCTCGCCGGTGGTGTTTCGTGTTTATCTGCATACATATGTACGCATGTATATAAATGTGTGAAAATATCGGTTGTATTTATGCATTAATATTTGCATATATAGTGTAATAATCGTATGTAAAACACGTGCTGTTGAAAAAATTAAAAAAAAAAATGTGCTGCAATTTTATAATTTCATCGGTAGTTTGTGTAAATCGTTTTCGGGTTTTCAAGCGCCATTTGATGTAGTGTGTTCGGTCGTTCGTACAGTGTTCGGTTAATCGCGTCAGTAAGGTGAAAAAATTGTATCGTACAAAATTGTCATAACAAAATTTGTCAATATGGCGGTTTTCGCAAACACAATGAAACGTGAGTGAGTACCTTAGTATTCTTTGTTAAGAAATTATTATTTTGTGTTGTGCAGGCTTAAATTATTTAAATTCCTAAATTATTCTTTTTAATCGGTTTCATTTAGCTTGCCATGTTTGGGTCAAATCCAGTAAGTAAAAAAATAATGATTAGGAATTAAAAGAATATGAGCCTGCATAACAGACAAATGACGTAAAATTAAAATGTTCTACAAAAGTTTTTAAAGAGAAAATTAAATGGGATCCTATCCGAGATTATAAGATTTTTTACTTTTTAAAAAAGCCCTTGTAAGTTTCTTTGGTAATGCTTTTACCAGAAATATGTACGTAACAGTGCCCTGAGCCCCCAATTACAGAGGAAATTGATTTTCGTGGTTATTCTGAGTTTGAAAACAATTGTTCCAATTACATATGTATGTATGTCATTATAATGGCAAAGAGAAATTTTTTTAATTAAATACTTGGGACCGTAACGGTTCTGAGCTTTATAATTAAAATCGTCAAAATTGGTTTTAAATTTTTCTGTTCAAATTGGTAGTTATTTTAAAATTTTAATTTTTTCCAGATTAAGCGTTATTTTGGACTTATATTTTTCGATAAGAATAAAAAATTTTAAATCGGTCATAAATTCTATTATAACGGTTAAACGTGATCAAAAAACTAATAATCTAAAATAACGAGTATTTTTTATCGAACGATTAGATTTGTTTCGAAAAAATAAAAATCCAAATTTAACAATTATTCTTAACCGGAAAAATAAAAATCAAAAAGCAATGATGTAAAAATAAGAACCAAAATGTAACGATTTGCAATAATGCAAGAATAAAAATCTTGATATTTAACGCTTATATTCAGTCCTTGTTAAATACAGCAGGTCCATGGATTTATTAAAAAAACATTAATTTCGTAAAACTCTAAAATATTTAATGATGTAACGCGTTTTTGTAAAAAAAGGTTAAGCAAACTTGTGCACCACCAACTTACATGCCGCTTCCCTCGAATTTCCGCCATCATTCCGAAAAACCACCATGTATGTATGTATGTATGTATGTACTTTGACTTATATGCACTGGCGAAAAAGCTTTTTTGAATGAATCGATTATAAATAAAAGTGTTGAAAATGAAAAATATAAAGTAGGGAATCCAACTTATCCCCGTTTTTCTGATATCCGACTATCCGGCCGGATACTGGCTGAAATCCGGCCGGATTTCAATTACAGAAGATTTAATTTAAAATACACTTCCGATTTTTTTTTTGTATTTCCGTAATCAAATTTAATAGTATCTAATTAGTAGTAAGGTTAAAAATTTATATATTGTTCATTATGAAAAGAAGCATTTCAGTATTCAAAATTTATAATTTATGAAAATTCAACAAATTTTCATCGAAATGTCATATTTTTAATCTGAATCTTTACAACATTTTTGAGTATGCAGTTTTATAGCCAATACAATTCTAGTCTAATGAAGTGCAAGTCTCTACCGGCTAAAAAATCGCGTTGATTTTTGAGAATTTTTTTTAGACAACTTTTTCGGTTTTTTTATATAACAAGTGCAATCTACAAAAACTGGCGTTGATTTTTTGGAATTTTGTTGCGTACGGTCTTCCGTTTTATTTCATAAGAAATTGATGCTTATATTGAAAAAACTGCAAAAATCCGTCACAGAAAAAATTCTCAAAAATCAACGGCATTTTTTAGCCGTTTGAAACTTGCACTTCATCAGACTAAAATTATATGGGCTATAAAACTGCATACGCAAAAATTTTCTAAAGATTCAGATTAATAAGCTGAAATTTTGATGAAAATATGTTGAATTTTCCAAAATTTTGAATAAAGTTTGAAACTGTGATTTATATGGATTTGGTTGGACGGTACATTTTATAGAAAAATAAAAAAAATAAAAACAAACGAAAAACTAAAAATATAAGCCTCAACACAAGTACTAAAAACATTATAACTTTTCTTTTTTTTTTTGAAAGAGGCCTAACCCTTTTTCAGCAAGGTCTTCATCGTTTTTTGAGAGCTTTAAATTTATGGCATAAAAATAAAAATTTAGGAATAATATTTCCAAAATTAGTGACCGCATTAACTAAAACGGTATCGAAGGCCAAAACTTTTTATTGGCCAATTATAGTCCTGAGACCTTCGCGGCGACCTAAAGATTTTAAAAATCGGATATGAAATAAGATAGTTATAGCAAAAAATTAATGAAGTTAAGAATTTTCGAATTTCAAGCTCGAGTAGAAAAGATTGAGGTTTTATATTTGTTTCTTAAATATTTACATATTTAGTATACACCTAATACCTAAAAAAAATTTGAGATATTTAAGGATTTATAGAGCAATGATCCCAGTCTTGTATTTCATTATATAATATTAAGCCCGGACTTTGAGTACTGATTACTTGTGAAGCTGCCAAAAGTATATAATTGCGATCTAATTCACCTTCCTTCACACCACAAGCCAAAAGCTTCTTGGCGGCATTCAAAGCTGAGCGCGATGGCAACTTTTCTAAAAAAAATAAAAAAGATTCGAGAATAATTTGGACAATTAAAGTAAGGATGATACAGTTTACATACCTGCATAGTTGCCGATAAAAGCAATACCTGTGCCATTCATATTGTAGCCATAGGTGTGTGCACCGCGCACGCCCCAACCAGTGCCCTCATAAATGACGCCATCGTTGCCGATGAGGAAACTGCAAAAAACAAAAACAAAGAAAATAAATGATTGATCTATACAAGTATTTTGTTTTAACTGAAAAAGTGTAGCAAAAACGTTGATATTTGATTTAGTAGCAAGTCTTCATTGGGTTTACCCAATTCAGATTCGTTCAGTGATAATAAGTGCAGCCGCGCAAATTGTGGGGCGTAACCATAAATAAAAAACAATTTCCAATACACTTACTTATAACCGATGTCATCGTATTTTAAATCATTCATGTGATAAATTTGTGTACTCTGTAAAATCGATGCACATTTCAGAAACTGATCACAATCATCCGAAACTGTGTGATGAATGATTACAAAGCGAATTGGTGGCACTTGGTAAGTTATTGCGGTAGCCGGTTTACCACCCCACTGGCGTTTTAACTTAATACGCGGACAATCGTTTTTGCCGGTTGAAACCTCACTTAGGTAACATAACAGGGCAAATAGAAACAACAAAGGAATGTTTGGCATTTTAAGACTCTTCCCTTTTATATTGTATCTGTTTCCGCGTACAAAAAAAAAAATTCTCTACCGATCCACCGCGTTAGAATGCCTTTCTACAACTGGTCGCTACACTCGCACTTGGAGCTTTGTTTTATTATCAACAGCGGCAATGCGCGCTGAACCTGGCTCATCAAATATTCTTGATTGCACTCATTTGAGCTCATCACTCTCTTTCTACCAAAAAAAAAACAAAATTGCAAGCTTTTGCATGTGTACACATGTATGTATTTTCACATTTGTACATAAGTACATACATGGTGGGCTAAATAAAACCTACCATTGTCAATGTTATTGTGGCTTGTTAACATTTTATTTTTAATATTTTTATTGAGCTTTGTACCACGATTGTTTATTAGGAAAAATTGAAAAAGCAACAAAGTCTAAGCGGTAGAAGTTATAGCACTATTTCGGAGATCACCACATCTCCTCATCAGACTTCTTTTT